ATGAAACCGGCTCAGCAGGTCAGCCTATCTGAACCCGCTCAGTACTGCTTGCAACCAAGGTGACATCTCTGCGTCGCAGGACTCATGGATACCAAGGCGACTACTCCTCTTACCAATCATCTCCACAACCACTCCCACCATACCTCTCTCCACCCCACTCGGAAAAAAAGAAAGCTAACTAACCCCACTAATCACAACAACTACAACACCTTCACCCCAACTGCAACCCTAACCCCACATCCACACTTTCTCCTCTTCCCTCCCTACTCCATGTTCCTTCCTGCCTCTCTCCCCTTACCCATGTGGGGGCCCCTATCCAGCTGTGGGGCCCGTCCCATGCCGAGTGGCTTTCCAATCCAACAGCTTCACCAAACTGGCCGAACCAGGACTTGCCCGATCGATCTAACCCATGTCGGCCAAAGAAAGCAAACAAAGGGGACACACCCACACCTGGAAAGGACATGAAAGGACAAAAACATAGAGTTAAACAAAAAAAAACGAAAACACACATGTTGGACATGTCTTCCATCACTGATTTTAAACCCCGAACCTCTCGGTCACTTCACTTCGAGAGGCCTCAGAATTTCGATCCACGGGACGAACGCGTCTTCGGTCAAAGGCCGAATTTGGAGGTCGACCGGTGGCAATGGTAGTGGAGGTTGTGCTACTGACCACAGCTACTGCTGTGAGTCGAACCACTCACTCACTCACTCACCCCCTCCAGGTGTTTCGTCAAACGGAGACGACGAAACGTGACGAAACAGTGAAGATCTCAAGCTGCTCAGTTCGTGACCCCCTGATCCATGCCAGCAGTTGAACAAACCTTCCCGACCTCGAGTCGGGTTTTAAAATGAAAAGACCCCCCAAAACCACATGGTGCCAGGACTGTTCCGATGACTTCTTGGCCTAATCAAGTTCCACGACAGGGAACTCGGCAAAGCCATGCTAAGACCACGTGAAAAGCCACCAGACCAGACCCTCACAGCCAATGGTCGATCCAAAGATGAGCATTTCAATGCTCCAAGAGTCCATCGTGCTGAGGAGCTCCACAGCAGTGACACACGAGCTGCTGCTATAGCGCTCCTCCAGAATCCTCAACAGCACCTGAAGGCACCCAGCCTGGATGGCCATGTACACGCTGCGACGTGGGCAAACGCGTGGTATGTACTGTAGCGGTGTGAAAATGACATTCTTAATTACGCGGAAAGGACTATGACTATGACATGGCTGAGGAAAAGGGAAGAGTAGCAAGTCGAACTCTTCAAACTGCGTATGACACGAAACAACAAATTGCAGCCAAAGTGTCAGCACACAAAACTCCAACGAACGCAAGCGACATCATGAAGTTTGAGCAAGCCACAATTCCACCAAAAGAAATCTCCATTTGACTTTGACCACCTTTGCCTCTTAACAGAACCTTCATCAAGCGCTAACCCTACGAGACGGCGAGCACCTTTGATGAATTGGGGAAGCTGACTCTGGCTGCTAGACATTGCTAGGCTCAAGCCGCAGACCGAAAATCGCTTGAAACACATAGGATGAAAGGATCGACGAAAACCATTGAACATCACGTAGACCAACAAGACGAAGATGGACTAGGAGGAGATCCCACAGCCGCATTGCCGCCACTGCTTGTAGCTTCTATTTCAATCTCAGCCTTGCTGGAAGCGTCTTCGACTTGTGATTGGCAAAGGCTGTGACAGCTGTAGCACATGATCACAATGAGCAGGAGGCTAGATGGCACGGTAAACAGAAAGCCTGTTGGATCCGCGACTGTCAGGTAATAGAAGCTTCCCAGGAAGATGGCAACCGGAATAGCGGACACCGGGAACACCAGGGCCGCAGCGAACAGTCGTGGCATGTATCGAGCCAGTGGAACACCGAGATGCAGTGCAATGAAGGTGGCCCAGAAGCTGCCCAAGAGCATCACCATGCTGATCGTGATCCATTCCAGAAGCCACTGCAGAATCAGCCGCGTATCATTGGCCCCACAGCCACTCAGAATGTTCACCAAAGTCTCACAAAGCCAAGGCATGTTGGTTGCTGCGATCATGTAAAACTGGTAGCGGCGGGGTATCAAGTTTGACATGCTCGAGAGAATCGAGCTCGCTAAGCGCGTCTGGACCAGCAAATTGAACCGTGTCAAGGACTCTTCACCCATGTCGTTGGGGTGGCCATACCATTCCTTAAGCTTCAGATACACAAGTTCCCGGTCGCACGGAATCACCGCGCCCGTGTCGGGATGTCGATGTTGATTTGAACAACAAAAGCAAAGCGTCTCTTGGATCCGGAAGGTATGCAGTTGCTCTTGGAGCGTCTCTTGTACAGTTCGAGCTAAGGCAATGACCCAGGAAATCAAGGGAATCCCAACAAATGCCACCAATAGACATGCTGCACCGATACCAATGAGCACCTGGATGTAAGCGTCGTTCAACTCTGACTTCATACCCCACTGGTCCGAATGCCATGCATGCAGTACGCACCATAAGGCAGTTGTGACAGCACTCCAGGTGGCATAAGACAGCACCAAGATCAGGCCTGCATGTGCTGGCATGACCACCAAGGGCTTTTGCTGCTTGCCATCTGCCAAGAAAGTTGCTATTTCGTAGGAGCACCAAAGCCTCTGAAAGTATCGCGGAGACCACAGTACCTTGCTAGATAACGGAATGAACACCGACATAAGAAGATAGACATAGCAAAAACAAACGAGCGTATCGAAACTCAAGGGCATACCGATTAACCAAGGTGCAACAAGCCGCCTGGAATGGTTTAGGAAGGCTGCAAGTCCCAGAATTCCTTTTGTCTTCAAATCCGCAAGTTCTGGGCTTTGGGCAATGCAAAGTTTGTCCAAAAAAACAAATCGTGGTGTGAGGAGCAGGCTGCGAAGCCTTTGCCAGAAGCACAAGACAAAAATGTGAATGCCATGGCAAATTCCAACAGCAATGAGCCTCTGATCCATAGGGAATACGGTTGATATGCATTCCCGGCGATAAGACGACTGGATTGCAGCCAGCATGATGGCGGCCATCAACATTGCAAGGAGTGCTGCTCTTGAGTTGTAAATGATCAGCATCGATGCAAGCTTCAAGAATCGAGAGGTTCCCCAGTCGTGACTCAGGAAGTCGTCAAAGTATTCCATGGGATGGCTCAGGTCATAGTCGTGGGGATTGATGTTGGACATGCCAGGATCGGGCTTGCGCCAGTGTCTTCCAAATCCACTGAGGCACTCGTGCAGGGACACTCCGCGAAGCAGCTCTGGCTCCAAACGAGTTAGCAACTGGGGCTGTTCCATGGCTCAGCCAATGAAACGGCTCTTCAGAAGGACCTTGTGTGGTATTACTTATGTACTATATTTACTATGATCATCTATGTTCTATATATAAACCTGTGAATTCAAAAAACAGGTTGTTCCCTTTTGCGGGACGGAAACCAAACTTGTCCTTATATTACCTTACACTGCCAAACATGTCTCAACGGCGCCGAAAACTGCATCACCCACCAGCCCTCCCATCCTCCAGAAGAATCTTCTACTTCGAACTAGGAACCCCTGCAGAATATCCTACCTACCAGTACCATTCCAGAGTCCCAACCTCAAAATCATTCAACACTTGTGCGGCTTCCCAATTGAAGCAACTCATCATGTGGGCACATTCAAGTCACACCTAGAAGCCTAGAAGGTTCATTTTCAACCTAGAAGCGATGGCCTCGAACCTAGTAGCAATGCCCTCCAATGCTACCCGAAACCCTTGTCCCCCGGTCACCATGTGTCCCCCGGGTCACCTAGGATCCGGTCAGCCGGTGGCGCCTCTGAGGACTTGAAGATCTCACGAAAGAGCTTCTCAGACTGTTTTCCTCGTTTCACGCTCGGTAGTCTGAGTGGGGTGATGTTTCCATCCGGATGTCAAAGGAAAAAAAACTCGACATGCATAATGTTTGATGTGCGCATAGAGCACCACACATTCACAATATACACACCAAATCATGAAGTATATCCACACTTTGCTGACATTGGTTTTCAGTTAGCTCAATTCCCAGGTCGAAAATGGTGAGGGAACGGCAAGGCGAAAAGGTTGGCGAGAACTGTATGGTTGAACAATGTTTGCAATCTGACACATAAGCGCGGCTGCAAAGCGGCGGTGGGAAAAAAGGGTTTGGGGGACGTATCATGAACCACTATGGAATCAAAAAAGAAGGATTGGAACAGCGTAGCGTACTCAACCGTTGAAGCAGGTACAGGTGGATGATCAGTCCACCCCTCCCTCGTCATACCGTAGCTTCATTGCGTACGGTGGGTATGACGAGCAGTACGCCCCTGCTTTGAAAACACGGAAAGCCCTTAGGGACAGGGTTTGACATACACACGGTGCCGCTTTGCGGCGCTCGTGCGAACGACCTGAATAGGTACCTAAAAAGCCTTTGAAACAAAAGAAAGAAACACAGAAAGAGCAGCGCTAAGAGGGCAAGAGAGAAAGGTAGGAGTAGAAAAAAGTGAATACTTAGCCCTTGACTGGGGTAGGGAAACGAGCCTCAAGAGCAACCTAAAAA